GGAAGGAAGGAAGGAAGGAAGGAAGGAAGGAAGGAAGGAAGGAAGGAAGGAAGGAAGGAAAAAGAAAGAAACAAAGAAAGAAAGAAGGAAAGAAAGAAGGAAAGAAAGAGGGGGACTAGATAATCTTTTTAGGCCAATATAGTAACAGGTATCTTTACTAAAACAGAAGTCAGAGAGACTTCTAGACCAAACCTGGTGGCAGCTGCTTGCTTTCCAAGACAATCAGGAGACTGAGGCAAGAGCACTTGACTCCAGGAATTCAAAGGCAGTTGAGCAACATAAGAAAATTTTGTCACTTAAAAAAAGGTGGGGGTGGGAGGAGCTGGGAATGTGGCTTCGTGGTAGAGTGCTTGCCTAGCATGCAGGTTTGATTCCTCAGTACCACAGAAACAGATAAAATCCGGAAGTGGTGCTGTGGCTCAAGTGGTAGAGGGCTCGCTGTCAGCAAAAAGAAGCTCAGGGACAGCGCCCAAGTCCTGAGTTCAAGCCCCAGGACTGGCAAAAAAAAAAAAAAAAAGCCTCTAGTTACAGCAGTCATATAAAAGCTGGACATGCATCTCAGTTTCCATATGCAGACATGCATCTACATATATATAATGATTTTGGATTTTGTATCTTGTTTCAGTGTTTTATCTAGATCATAAACATCTTCCTACTACAACTAGAAGTCTTCAAAATGATTTTTTATGGCTAGTCAGTAAAAATCTGTATTTACTAGAACTATAACACATTGTCAATTTTCCCCCTACACAACGAAGACCCTTTTCATTCATTAATAATTAAATGTCCTCATTTCTGGTTATTCCACCTGCAAAATTACTAGGTGTGGAGATAGAGAAAGATTTATAGTTTTAAGGAGAAGCAAAGAAAAGTTTGTTTATATCCATCAAATAGCATGCTACACCCACTGGGATCTCCTGGAAACCACCTCTCTAATCCACATGCACAGATTTTTCAGTCCTAATTCAAGTGTCTACCTAGCTTTGCAATGGATGTTCTTCACTTATTGCTCGTTCTTCAACCCTTTCTCCTGCTGTCAATACTATGTGTTAGGCACTGTGCATTGGCAACTGCAACAAGCACTTTATATCCAACCTCACAACAACCAAGGGCATCTCCAAATCAAAGACAACTTCAGGCCAAAGATCTGGACAAGGACAGAACTTGCCTGGTGATGAACATCAGTAAAGTTAGTGGGCCAAATGGCCAATGGGAGCTCTGAGCTTACATAAACCCCTTGAGCAATGAGGGCAGTGATGAGAGGAGACTCTACGTCTTCACCATGAGCATGATCCCAATATTCCAAGGGGAAAAGCAGAGTCTGCTGCCAGACCCAGCTTCCAATCTCGCGGCTAACCAGGCTCATAGAACCTTCTAAGAATGTGAGAGCCTTGGAGACTTCCTTCTAGAAGGATCTGGAAACCAGAAGCCAGAGTAATAAGTTTGATTTCACACTAATGCTTCATTTCAATGCAGCTAGGTCTATGGCGTTCTTGTTGTGGGCTATGAACTGGCCTAGGCCTTGGGCTTTGGGCTAGAGGCAAGGACGCATCCCCACAAGGCTTCCAGTCCACCAAGCAGGACACACTAGTGACAGGATCACTCAGCCAAATGACCGTGGGCAGGTCAATGAACTTTGCTAAACCTCTGATTCCTGTCAACACAAAGTTCAGAAACCCTCAGAGTTGTGGGGTGCTGGAGAACAGGAGGGTGGCATAGTTCACTGAGCACAATGCCCACCCATAATGACCACCACCACGTGCCCAATGACCACCTAGAAGAGGGCACTTGTGTGC